CGCGCTTTAATCAATTGCAACCAAACTACCAAACTATTTTTAATTCCGGTTTTCAGGCTGCATAAGAAATGTTAATGTACGATAATGTTTTGTACAAAACAAAACCGATCTATTGCTCAATCTGTATTAATAATAATTATTATAACAAAATAGTTTTATTTTATTTCTTTCTATATATTTTTTAATTTTTATCATTGGGCCCCCATTATRGGTTGGGGCCCTGGGCCCGTGTGTTTGACACACCCAACACACCCWGTTATTGCGGCACTGAACATAATATTATGGTACTAAATGTTAGTACACAGTATATTCAACAGAAATCAAATAATATAGAAGTAAAGAATCATAGTGTGTAATATATTACTAAAGTTTAATCTTAAAAAAAAAATCTAACTAACAAATTCAATTTTGTTTTCGATTTCAACATAATGTTCAGTTCCGACCAATTTTGACAAATGTGCACGCTGCATTGGTGATAAAGTCATTTTTGTCAAAATTTTTGAAATAAAATCATCTAGTTCAWGATAGTTGACTTCTAAAGAATATTCAATGCATTTCTAAAATAAATACAAAATAATAATTAAAAATATTGTAAGTAATAAGTTATTAATCACTCCAATGAATTTAATAAATCAAAACTAAAACAATTAATTTTTTTTCAGTTTTGATTATAAATTTCCAATYACTTTTAGTTAAAAAAATAAGTTTTAACTATTGTATCACTTAAAATTTAGTAATTAAATATTGGTTTTAAAAATAGTTATTAAAATTATTACATTTAAAATTTAAAAAAAAACATTGGATCCAAGTAGATTGCCAATTCAAAATATGAATACAAATAAATTATATTCAATGTTAATCATACTAAATGAATTTAAGAAAAGAAACACTTATTAAAGTGGAAAAGAACAATATTTTTAAAGGAACTACATGGCTCTTTTTCAAAAACCTTGTTATTTGATGATATTGAAATAATAATACATTGAGCTAATATTTAAAGTAATGAATAAAATTATGAGGCGTCATAGAATAGTTTATTATGATAGATAACAGCAATAATATTTTGATATGAAATCAAAATTGGTTAAATAATCAGATTCAAGATCAGAATATTGATTGTTTTAATTTATCTCCATAGGTAACTGATTAAAATTCCTACCTTTTACAACTMTATTAATATTCAAACTATATATGAACAACTGAACTAACACTTAACTAATATTTTTTTAAATTTCACTCACTAATAATTCATTAAAATAGTTATTTTCAATGCAATAGTCTAAAAATGTAGCGATTGAATCACTATCTGGAATTCCAATGATTTCATTTTGATTTTTATGCAGTTTCACAATCATTTCTGTAGCCTTATTAATATTATCTCCAAACAAGCAGACTTTTATTAAATTTCCCAACATAGTACCCGTCCATCTGAAATAAATAAGGTATATTTTATTTAAAAATATATGTRATTGTATTTTTTAGAATAACTAAAAAGGTTATTATACATAAAATTAAATATAGTAATTTAAATTATTAAATTTTTGCTTAGAATAATAAAATACAAGTTGCTTGATTGATGCACAATTTTTTGTTTTATCTATTTTTATTTTTTGCATTTGATCAAAATTTTAAACCATTAAATAACTCTAAGTAACCACTCAAAGAAATACTTATTATAAAAATATAAAGAAGTATTTATTTATTTATTTTTAAATATATATATATTATATATAAAAACTGGCTGAATTCTCAGAGATAAATTTAACCGAAATAGGCAATCCACATGCAGTTGATAGTAATAACTAGAACTAGAAACTTCATGCCCTTTATAACTATCAAATATGCATTTATTTATGCCCTGAAAATCACAAAATATGTACAATCACTTGAAATGAATAAAACCGAAACACTTTGACTAGATATAAATCAGAAAAATATTTCTGTTGATAATATTATTAATTTATAGTAAAACATAAACATAATGTCTGAATACAAATTAAATAAATTTATCAAATATATTTAAATAATATATATAGCCTAAGACTTCGGGTATTTTTAAGCTTGTAAAAATACAACAAAAATTATATTTTTTATTTTTCTAAAATTAATTCAACATTTATGCGATTAAACTATATGAAAGCATAATATTATTAATTCATAATTACAATTATAAATGGTACTGCAGATGAGTAAAACTATTCACACTAATTTCTTTGAATGTTTTGTTAGGTAAAATTAAATTTTTATGTAAGCCACCGTATAGCAAAATACACGGGTAGAAAAATAAGGTATAGACATTTTCCAAATCTCTAGGAATCTATTGATATAACTTTTATTGAAAAYAGATTAGTAGTTTTGTATTCTATAGAATACAAAGAAAGAACTGACAATCATTTATTTTTAAATATTTGAATTATAATATAGTTTAAAAAACCATTAGCTCTTTAATATTACTCTAAATGTATTAATAATAATTTTTAAAAATTAGTTAAAAATGCAATTAATAACTTCAAAATGTTCAGTTGTACTAGTACCCATAGTTACACCGCAAATTTCGGTTGGTCTGTTATACTTACGACATTTTTATTTTACCAGTTTCTTTTCGTTCTTCAATAGCATCATAAATTGTACCAGATAATACACTTAATTTTTCTCTAATAGACTGTTCAAAACTCGGGAACAAATTTTGAGCCATACCATTGATCAATTCTGTTATAATTGGTTCTCTATCTGCTTGATCAAACATTAAAATGTCTGACCAWATTTTTGGATATAATTCAACTGCAGCAGCAACATTTAAAGTTTTCACAATCAACTGCAACAAAAAATATAATATTTTAAAAGCTTAAAAATGTATCATTCTATACTTTGTCTTATATAAGAATTATTTTGGGTGACAGCTATATGAAGCTAATGAATGAATAGTATATGTAATTTTATTATTCCAACAAATAMTTATAATTTGTTCAAGTTAAGAAACATAATCAGTGGTGATCAGTTTTTTCAATCAACAGTTGGGCATTTCAACCGTGTCAACTATTTGTAGACCTGTCACTCTACTGTGTACATGTGACTATGTTTCTTTACTTGAACAGCGTATAGCTTGAATCTTACTAAGAATAATATAGTAAAGAAATTTAGTGTCATAGCCAATAACTTAAAATAAAAGCTGATGATAGAAATTGATTTATTGAGGGGTGTGGTCTGATTAAACTGGACAAAAACTTTTTGATGTCCAAGATTCCTCTTATATAAAACATAATATAATGTGATAAATAGTTTAAAAAATAATTGTAATATAATTCTATAATTTTGTTCCAAAAATTTAATTTTGAGTTGAAAATAATGGWGGTATAATACAATTTATAATGCTTAAATTAAAGTATTACCTCAGTGATTGACGGTTCAGGTATATATATGTGTGGGACCAAATCATAGTAATATTTCATTAAAAATTCAACAGATTCGTTTTGACATAATATTGCAAAAAAATGCCGACTAAAAATATATATAAATAGATAAGTAAGTTATGATCAGACATCTAATATTAAACTAATTATTAGGGTTCGAATTATAGGCAATATAAATAAAAAAATATGTTTTCACTCATTAATTATTGAGTAGCTAAAAAAAGAGTTCAGAAGACCCATAGAAAAATACACTTATACTCATACTATTATATAACTATAACTATATAAATGTTAAAAACTCATTCATTTATCTAGTATAATTTTAATCCATAATTAAAAAATTATTACTTGTAATAGCACACCATGTGTGTTGAAAATTTTTAAGATAATAGTAATAATAAAAAAAAAAGTACAGAAATATATTTTAACTCTTCATAAAGCATAATGACCAATCAACAATCAATCAAGTTATGACACATGTGATTGTGGATTTTTCTAATATATTATATTTAACACATCACTGATAACATATTTTTATTGCAAACTATTACTGTTCTTAACACAAATACGTATATAATATAATTATTGAGATAATTTGATAATTTAACAGAAAAATTAGATAAATTAGAAAATTAGAAAAATTCAAAAAGGCAATAAAATACATTACAATTCTATACATTTTATTAAGGCCTTAGTTTACCAAACTTTAATCCAAACCCTACTAATTATTTATGAAACAGTTATGACATTTTCTAAAAAAAGTATATATTTACTAATAAATTGATTCTTTATAAGAATCTCCAATTAAATTATAATTTTTTCCTTTCAGTAAAATGGAGTGAATTCTAAGTGCAACATCAACATTTTGTAAATGATACCGACTATTTTCCATAGCAGCTGTAAAAAAATTAGTGTCTGCCAAGTCTTTAATAATTAACGATTTTTCTTCAATAACATTTAAAATATCAACAAGAATAGTGCTCTTGTTTTTTCCTAGAAAAAATTATTTACATATTAATAACATCTTATTACAATAATATTTAACGATTTTAACATACGGTCTGCGCAAAATATTTGTAGTAAATAATAGTATGATGCTAAACATGGTTCAATATTAAATTGTTTGGCTTCAGCAATTGTTTTTAATGCATATTTTTTTGATTCAGAATTTATCACCATAGTAGTTAAAACATTAAGAATTGAATTTAAAGTTGATAAATTCATAGGTACACCTGAATTACACATTTGAGTCAATATTTCCTGAAAAAATTTAATTAAATTACATTAAAGTATAAATATATACTTGAATGGTTACCTATCTTAATTATTATAACAATAAAACTGCAAATTAAAATTTCAAAAAACATACAAATGTGATAATAATAGCCAATAGGTGTCATTAAAATAGCAAATACATAAAACTTAACTTTTTTCATTAAATAGTCAATATTTATATAATAATGATGTCGGTAACTAGAATTTACAATGCCCATGGAAAATAAATACGTGGACCTTAATTCTAATAACCAAAACAAAATTTATTTTGAAAAAAATTACAAAAAGTATAAAATATAATAAATCAAATTTTAATAATACATTTAAAAAATGAATTTTATAAAAAGATAATAAAATAAATACAATATAACTTCCGATCAATTTAATTCTCTTAGCGACAAAAAGTAATTTTGTGAGTCTTGTTAGCAAACATTAAGCTGTCTTTTCCACCATTATACCACAATTTAAATTTTATTTAGAATTGTAGATGTATCACAAATCTATAACTATGATTATATTTACAAAACTTAATACAAAAAAAAAATTCTGATGATATTTAAGATATTAAAATTAAACCAATGTGATAAGTTTTGTATATACTGCAATATTTTGGATATTTAACTWTTATTAACTTGATTAAGAAGTCTTAAATACCTAGATGACTCAGGCATGAATACAAAAATTGTTAATAGGGGGTATTATAAATAAAAAATTACTTATAATTTTCTTTTTTAGATGACATAATTTAAAATACAAATTTATTTTATTGGGGACTTAGATAACAGGGGGTTGCTTGAGCATCCATGACCCTTMCCTCCAGAATTAGTGTCTTTTAGATGTGAAAATTAATATCCAATAGAAGTTATGAATTGAGCATGACATAATATGACTGAAAAATTAAACGTATTGATATATCTTTGACAGGAATGGCCCTAGTATTTTCGGGAGCCCAGGCAAAATAAATAACAGTCACATTACATATTATCCAAACTAACTAATCTCTGAACAGTATAAAATATCATTTAAGAACTGCGGGTCCTCRATTATAATTTTAAAATTGCGGGACCCAGGGCAAGTGCCTTGATTGCGCCCTCCCCCTCGCGCCATCCCTGATGATTGATACCATTTTATAATGAAAGTACTATGAAAACATCTTATTTTGTTTTTAACAACTTAAATGTTCAACATTCAGAAAAARTCACATCCAATGAGCTCATCGCTACATGCTTGCAATACTAATATTTGAATATAAAAGTAAGAAAAAAAAATCCTACTGAAAACATTGAAATATTCTACTATATGTCTGGTATATAAAGATCTTAAAAATGAAGAAAAAAGTTAGTAAGTACCTATGCGATCAATGACAAGTATTCTCAATTAATAATAACTACTAGTTTATGATAGTAAAGAATTATTCTATGATTAAAAATCAATTCGAAACTAAATTTGTATTTCAAAAATTTTATAATCTATGACCGTTTATTTAAATTTTAACTAAAGCATGATTCTTAATAATTGATCCTGATGTTATTACATATTAATTAATAATTATTGACCCCCTGATTTTTAACCAAATTTAAGTCTATGCAATTGATCTGCATACTGAATCCCTTTATGGCAGTCYAATTAAATAAAAAGTGTAAGAAAAATAGTATTTATCTACTTGTATATGTAGCCACTTTTGGTCTGTTCCTTCTTTGACGTAAATAGCAGTTTTTATTGCTGAATTATATGCATTGGTAGATAAAATAAATCCTTTTTCATTAGCTTCTTTGTATAATTTGTATGCTTCTTCAAACTAAATATTAGTAATACACACAATAATTAAAATGCTTTAAATTATAAATATTATAAATAATTATCAAGTTACTACAAAAATTCTAAAACAACGGAAGGCAGCCATCAGATCATAGAAAATCTAAAACGGGATTTTTAAAATTTTTTTTGATCTTATTTATTTATTATTTTTATCTTTCAAAGTACAATAGAATTTACTTGCCAACCCTTGTTTTAAAACTATAAAATAGTAGGAATTTTTTTTTATTTAACCTGATTATATTTTGCCATYCCTTGTATGATAATTGAATAATGATGAGAATTAGGAGATTTAATAGTTGAAAAAAGAGTCATTGCAAATCCATTGGATCTAAAATTATTGTTTTAAATAAAATATGATTGCTAAAATATACATAACATTCTAGAATAATGTTCTGTATGTCAGTATATATTATTATGTTAATTGTAAATACATACTTCCAAGTATTTCTATATTCTTCTCGGTTTTTATTAGCTTGTGTATACCAACGTTCTTCAATCCAGTCTTCTTCTAGATCATCTTGATTATTGTAAAAACATACTAACTCTAAAAGTGATTGTTGTGTATCTGAACTTATTTCTAATAATCAATGAAATTAAAATCGAAATATTTTACTATAAAAATAAAGGTATATTATGAGAATAATATTTAAAAAATTACCTATGTCTTTTTTTTTTAACAGGTTATAAACAGTTATAGCATCTGACACAGTAGCTTTTTCAATAATTATTTTTAATTCATTCTCATCTAACTCACAACTTTCATCGTACACAACTTTAGGGCAAAATTTCTAAAGTAAAAAAAAAATCTTCTGAATTATAGTTATTTTTTAATTTGAATCAGTGATTACCTATGAAGTACCTATGTAAGTAAATTTAATTTTGGTTCTTTTTTTTGTTACAAAATATTAGAATAATAATTTAAGTATTTGTACATAATAAAACCTTTTTTAAATTGTTTACTTTTTATTCTTTGATATAAGTATTAATAAATAACTGCTATATTCAGTGTTGAATAAAAAAACATATTTTTAAAATATGAAATAATTTCTTTTATAAAATTCTAAAAATTCTAATATGATGAACATAGAACATTTTTAAGTTGAATCAATATAAAACTTAAATGATTCTTAAATGACATAAAATCCTAAATTTACATAAATCTGCTGATTCATATTAAAAAAATGTAAATATTAATTATTAATTATTAATTGTACCTCAATAGGTGGAAATGCCACTTTATGATTAAACAATTCAGGATGTTGATTGAGAATCCAATGTGCTGCTTTTCTACCAGATTCCTGACTTAAGGCATAAGCTCTTTTTTGAAAATTTGAAACTGGTATTAGATATGGGTCATCATGGTATTTAAAGTGAGCAGCAGTTGGATCTCGTTGAATAGTACTTGAGATGGCCTAATTAATTACCAATTTTTAATTTTTGTTTATTTTGTATTTTTCATTAAGAGGATGTGATACCCGCATGTGTTGTCTCTGTCTTAGAAGTGCATTATATAGTAAATTTTACGTTCAGCAGAACACATGTAGCTCCGTTTGCTTAAAAATTAGAGTGAATTGACCGCTCATAAAATTTAAAGGTATGATTGTTATCTAGTCAACCTCATATGCTTTTTATTATATTTAAATTTTAAAGRAAGTTATGAGTATTTTAAGATACACAAAAAATGTACAATTTTAAAATACTCATAACTCGCTTTAAATTTGATATAAAATAAAGAGCATATGAGGTTGTCTAGATAATAATTTTACCTTTAAATTTTATARGAGGTAAATTCACTCTAATTTTTAAGCAAACAGAGCTACATGTGTTCTGCTGAGCGAAAAATGTACCATGTTACGCATTTGTAAGACGGAGACAACACATGCGGGTATCACRACCTYTTAAGTGCTTAGGTATTGAGTACCTACTATGGTACATGAAATACCTAAGCCAAATTTGAATAATATTTACTTTCAGTATGTCAGTTGAACTTCGATTTTTATATTTGGGTATGTCAATCTTAATTTCATTGCTTGAAGATTTTTCCAATGAATGAGTTGATAATTGACATAATTGAATAGTTTTATTAGATTTTCTTAAAAATGCAGTTCTAGTATATAAAATAAAGACCATAAAATATTATAAATATTATTCTTAACTAATTAACATTGATAGAACAAATATTATAACTTATAAGAAATAATGCAACATACCTGTAGTTAGTTAACATTTTAAAGGACTATATTTTCAAAACTATATATACATATACTGCCACTAAATGATAATTTTGGAAATAAAATAATTAGGTAATAAATAAATTATAATAGTTTATATTTTTTTATAATTGATTAATTTATTGGAAAAATTAAAAAAGTATAGCAATATAAATCTGGCCTCCCGAGTCCAGAAGCATGGTGAATGG